AAGGCATATTGATGAGTTGGCAAGATATTGGTGTTGCGCTGATGAGCGCTGGACTCAGGGAAACTTTGAAACACTTTGTATTCATATTTTTGATAATATAAGCTGTGAAACTCGGTTCTCATCTTCTCTACCTTTGTCTATTATCAGACTACTGTTCGATGTGTGTGGGAGAACGATGCATGGCATGTACACACTTGCGTGAGATGGTCTCCAGGACCCATGCAAAGAGGTGTAGGGAAGTAGTATAGGCGAACACGTCATAGCTAGGGCTACTAGTCTGCTGTTGTTTTGCTTGCTGGAGGTCCAAAGAGGGCTTTCATTATCAAGAGACTTCATTTTTCATTGTGTTATTGGATCCGTGTGCTCTTGGCTTCGCCATTCTACTTTTAAATTGGCTTACTCCTGATGGGTATTCAATTAGCTCTTGAATCTCAATTTTTTTGTGTGCTCATATGCTGGTTCTTTGCACATCTCTGTTCCCCGAGAAAAGCCCTTCCAGAAAGACTGGTGCTGTGTTAAGCATACCCCCTGCTTTGCCATTCCTCTCATATAACAACACCCCTATCATGGACTGTTGTATGTACGCAAATCATGACGGTCTCATTCCATTGTGTGAGGTCATTGCTGAACATCAGACTCAAAGATCTCTCGTCCCAGCCAAACATGTTGATCTTCCCAAAGTCTGTGCATGAAAACATCAACAATACAATTTGGAAGACTCAGGTTAAGGAATGCGCAACGTTGCATCCCCACATTGCATGGTGTATACGGAGTTGTAGGTACCTATGGGATTCGATATGGACTCTGGAAATAGGTGAAGGAATTTGAACATAAGAGCAAGTGGGCTACAGAGAAGTTGCACAGTTAGAAGGTACAATCAGTGCTCGTTGATATCTACAGATGGTCGGATGCTTGACAGAAGAGCCAAAAGGGACAGAACAAACTTTGGCCTCTCTATTGATCAAATGATTGACTTGCCTCATTGGTCTTCGTGATCTAGGTATGCTGGCGAACTGTACCACAGGCAACCACCGCTCACGTTTGGCATGTGGTTACCGTCAAGGAGATAATTATACCTGCCTCGATGGGTTTGAATTTGATCCATCATTATGCACGCTTAATGGTGAACCGGATAAAGAAAACAGAACATGCAAACGCCTTAAACAAATTTTTGATCAAACATTTGTAAGGTGAGTTATAAATATGGGTTATATTTGCCTTTGTGTCTGCGTGTGTGTGGTGGGGGAGGGGGGGGTGAGTTGAGGCGGGGGCTGGTTGTTGGAGATTTCCCTTTCACACCCTGCCAGGTTGATTAATATATGTTCTGTTTGGAAGCATAGTTACCTATACCACTCCTATTGCTTCTTGTGGGTAGGGGGGCGGGAGGTTGAATGGGGGCGGCGGCTGGTTGTTGGAGATTTCCCTTTCATACCCTGCCTGGTTGATTAACATATATTCTGTTTGGAAGCATAGTTACTTAAATCACTCCTATTTGCTTCTTGTGGGTGCACATGGAGTTCCTCTCGTGTGCAGTTGTTGTTTTCTGTTTTGTGTCTTCTTTGTCAGAAATAATATGAACTAGCCGTACAAACGGAATGACTGGACATAGAAATGACCACAAAAAAGAGAGGTGAAGCAGGTAGGGGCTCGCCTGTTGATCTGTCAAGATTAGTGATGGAAGTACCCATTTTCAGTTCCACACAAGCCCCTGCAGGGCCCGACGAGTAGGGTAAGGGGTCCTAGGTGTTAGCAGGCTCTGCTTAGGCCAGATTAGCAGTTAGGCCCTGGCGTGTCGTTTCGTTTAGCCAGGCCCCTCGTTAGTACCGGGGCCATTTAGTTTAGGCGCCAGGCTGTTCAGGCCCAGGTTCGGTGAGCGCCATCCGTTAGGTGCCATGGCAGTTCAGACCCTGATTCGGTTCCGCAGCAATTTTGGCGCCAGAGTTTCATTTGGGCACCAGTCTGGTTGAGGCGCAGGCCTCGGGATGGTCAGCCTCCCAGGCAGTCCAGCGTTGTTTATAGCTGTTCTGCCTAGTAGTCGGAAGGTAGTACCAGTGGTTGTTCGGGTGCTGCGTTAGGACAAAACATGATGTTGGGCTGCAGTCGAGCTGCAGCGAGAGAGAGAGAGAGAGAGAGAGAGAGAGAGAGAGAGAGAGAGAGAGAGAGAGAGAGAGAGAG